TCTCCTCTCTCTCTCCCTCTCTCTCTCTCTCTCTCTCTCTCTCTCTGTCTGTCTCCACCCCGCAGTTCTAGCGCTTGCTGCAGGACCCGTTCAGCTGTCACAGACATAAGCAGATATTATCCACTGTCATACATTTGTGCCTTGGACTTCTGCAAGTAATGACTGCAGCATTAGGATTACCTCTGGACCCCCCCCACCCTCGACTATTCAACTGCAATCATTCTGTCTGTGACGGAGGGGGAGGAAGCAGCCTTTATCACACAGGGAGAGATGACATAAGTTAGAGTGGTGGAGAATGAGTCATCAAATACAGTCACTCTTTGTGAGCGGCTAATGCTTATGCGAGCTGGGCTTCTGCTGAGCAGGAAATGATGGCTTTGCTAAAGAGCTTGTATCTGTCATTAGACTACTACTAACAGGGAGACGTGTAACATATATGGCTGCTTCAAATGGAGATTTGAAGAATGCGTTTAAAGGGACAGTACACCCAAAAATGAAAATTCCGTTCGCTTAATCACTCGCATGTCATTCCAAACATGTTTGACTTTGTTTCTTCTGTGGTACACAAAAGGAGAAACGTGAAATAATGTACTGGTTGTTTTTTCAATGTACTTACAATGAATGGGGGAGCTATGAGCTATTAGGTTTCAAAAAGGAGGCAAATGAACCATAAAAGTGGTCCACACAACTGTGCTTTATTCCAGATCTTCTGAATCATACAATTGTTTTGTGTGATAAACAGACTCCAGTGAGCTGTTGACACAAAAACTGCTGGATCAGTGAATCAATGAGCTGAATCATAAAAACAGATGAGTTTGATTTGTGAATGAATCATTCAAACTGGTTTGATTAACTGAATCAAGTGATTCAGTGAAAAGACAAATTAGACATCATGAACACACTGAGGGGAGCTAGAGTGGATGCTAAGTGAAGTGAAGTGAAGTGAAGTGACCCATACTCGGAATTAGTGCTCTGCATTCATCCCATCCAAAGTGCACACACACAGCAGTGAACACACAGACCGTGAACACACACCCGGAGCAGTGGACAGCCATTTTTGCAGGGGCGCCCGGGGAGCAGTTGGGGGTTCGGTGCCTTGCTCAAGGGCACCTCAGTCGTGGTATTGAAGGAGGGGGAGAGCGCTGTACATTCACTCCCCCACCTACAATCCCTGCCGGTACGAGAGGTTACTCGTAACCTTTGGGTTACGAGTCCGACTCCCTAACCATTAGGCCACGACTTCCCTAAGATGTTAGGGAGATGTTAAACTTCAGTAAGATGTTAAATGAAATTTTTGGTCTGTTCCTCACTTAAAGCCATCGAATATCAGGACTGCTACAATACTTACAATCAACCAAGGTAATAAAACATCACTTTTATCTGGTGTGGTGTGAAACATGCAAGAAGTAATGTAATTTAGAGTCTAAGTTGCTTTTATGACACTTTTCCAGTGCTTCTGTGTCCTTTTTGAAGCTTAAAAAGTCTCCATTCATTGTACTTGCTTTTAAAAAATGACTAGTTTATTCTTCAAAATACCTCTGTTTGTGTTTCTCAGAAGAAAGGATAATACAATGCTCATGTTTGGGTGAAGTATAAGCAAATTTCTAAAGGACAAAAGTGCTGCTGTCTGCATAAAAACTTGAAATTGAACTGCCAAGATTATAACAGTCATCTGTGACAAAATACTTAACTGGAGAGTAGAGTTTTGAATTATAATATCATGGCCCAAAAAGCAGGTGACAACTGACAAGCGTTTCCCCCACCAAGAAAAGGATTCGATTTCAAACAAGCTTTCATTTCATGTAGAAAATAATAACAATAATGTGTGGGCAAAGTACGATGTGTTTAAGCAAATTTCATGAGCCGGTCTACAGCACTTACCAGATCTTGTGTTCATTAGTTTTCACTAAGCCAGTGCAATATGCAAAGGTCAGGATTATTTGATTCACCTAAATAGAACGTAATGATCACAGATGCTGAATTCATAGTAGGGTGTAACAAAAGATAAAGCTCAGGGAGAGCGGGCAATTACAGAGAAACAAAATAAAAGCAGCGAATCGTGACTAACAAACAAAATCACTGACTCAGAGCACAACAGGAAACGCACAAAGGCTATTTCAGACCAATCTGGCCCTCTAGACAAAAAGAGAGTCTGAAGACATTAGAGAAGTAAAATGCTGACACAAGATAGTATTGTCAAGTGTTATTTAAAATTCAAGCCAGAATGATTTTTTGTGAATCTATACAGTTTTAGCATTTATATCTTGAAGTGCTGAGCGCTTTTCAGCCGACGCTACATTGTGTTCCTTCAAGCGCACGTTTTAAATGAAATCTGTCTTCTAGCACAATGCATTGTTAATTAAAGGTGCCATAGAATGCATTGATACAATATTTTAAATTGTTCTCTGATATCCCCAGAGTGTGTATGTGAAGTTTTATGTCAAAATACCCCACAGATAATTTTTTATAGCTTGTTGAAATTGCCACTTTTAGGTTTAATGAGCCAAAAAGCGCCGTTTTTGTGTTTGTCCCTTTAAATGCAAATGAGCTGGTGCTCCCGCTTCCCTTTTCAGAAGAGGACGGAGCTTCAAGAGCTCATGCTCCAGCACACCAGTGTTACGGTTTAACTGGTGGCGACCGTGTTACTGACTTCACATTGCTTCCAAATCAGAGCATGTGAGTGGAGTGGTAATATTAAGCTAACACACAGCTGTGTATAGGCCTAAATACAGAACTACAGAGTACAGAAGATATTAGCCTACACCACTTAGGCCTATTAAAATATTATTAAAAAAAAAAAAACTGACCCGAACCAATAGGTAGTCCTACAGAATGTAGGCTACATATAGGCAGCAGCAATTTATAATCTAATATAATGCACGCAAATTTGTTATTTACAGAACGGAGCGGGATCTGAGCGGGAATTGGTTTACGGCGAGCGTGAGCGGAATATTAACTGAACTGACCCTCGTTTGTGAGGCAGTCCGGCGTAAAATGATTAGCACAAACATATAGGACTTTTCCGT